GCTGAAGTTTTGCTTTTGTATTTTAATAAAAAATAATTACATTATGGAATAAACAGGCTATGCTATCTAAATTCTATAGCACAGAGCATGATTATACTTTGTTGTCTGAGTATCTGGTAATTATTTAAGTCCCACAATAGGGTGTTTACAGACAAAAAAAAAAATTATTCGGGCATACTCTTCAGCTGATATTAAAAATTAACTAGGAGCATGTTTATTAAGTCAACAATAGTAAAAATCTTAACTTCAAATTTAGAAAACAATGGTACTTCAAATAATACACTAGTACAGCTGCATAACAAAATAAACAAACCTGAGAGAAGTACTGTGTGTTGGAGAAATGTAAGCCCTGCTAAGGAATCTGTGGACGGAGGTGTAAGCCAGCCACTCTTCCACCACGCACAGCTCGAAGAAGCGGCTCCAGAACAATTCTCCGACCAGTTTTCATTCACAGAACTGGTCTGGTCCTACACTCAGCCATAAATCTGCTTTCCTGAAGCTCAGCAACCAAGGGAAGACACTGGACATGATGCATGCTTAGTGAAGACTGTATCACAGCAGGTTCAAAGACAGTTTCCCATGTAATGGTTTCCTGTAGTCATTACCAACCTCTCCCCCCACTTTATTTTCATTATTACTTTTAAGGGAAAGTCATCTGGGTGTGGAAACAGTTTAAAATTACACATAGGCCCTCCTGAATGAGTCAGAAGCAATGCAGAAGTAAGCAGCTGCTGGGATAGGCTTTACCACCCACATTTCTTAGCACGGAGATAATAGTAGTAAAAAGGGGAGAAAGCTGCATCACCAGCCCTAATTGAATAAGTTTCCAGTGGGAAGATTTGCATTATGCTGATTCGCTATAGATGGTTCCACTTGGAAACTCACAGCCTGTAAATGTGCGAGGTGATCATTTTTTTTTGCTATAATCAGCAAGCTGCTTTCTGAAGGAGGAATAAAACATTCCTATGTTTTCACGTAGTGTCAACTCAAATAAGTAGATTGGATTATGTTACTAAGCATATACTCTACAGTGCAATCTACTGAGTGCTAACAAGTGATGTCAATAAGCCAGTGAGCAAGAGACATTAAGTTATGCACATCCAGAGACTGATAAAATAATAAACATTTATTAAGATACCAAGTAAGTCTGAAAGGTTGTGACTGGTTCTTAATATTATACTATACACGCTTCCCCCTCCTTTTTTTTTTTTTGGAGTATCATTACTTGAAGAGGGAAGGTGCTGCACTAGTAGCCAAAGAAATCAATTTAAAAAAGAAAAAGCACAAGAAAAATCTGAAATGTGGTAACACGCCTATCGTTTAAAAATGGAACAAATTGTATGGGATGTCTATCAATAGGTGGCATCATACACAAGTACCAAGAAAACACCACAGCTGCCCCCACAGCAGCTAGGGAGACCACATTTCAGCATTCCTCTACGCATCAGATATTACAAGAGATTTGTAGTCTACACATGTAATTATTCATTGCTTTCCATCGTAATAGTCTTCCTGTTATAAATTTTTCAAACTTTAAAAAAGGTGATGGAAATCCCCATCTAAACTTCCTTCTTCTAAATTAAACTTCAGCCAAGACAGATTTATCAGGAAGCCACCTATTTAACAGGAAGGATAAAAACACTAAAGCCTGCCCATTCAGTGAATGCCTCACCAAGTCAGTAAGCAACACGGGAAAAAAAAAACAAACACTAAACATGGCTCAAAAGCTACCAAAATATATGTATAAAGAGGTTCAATTAAGATTGCAGAGCAACAGCACTTTGCTCTTCACACACTGCACAATTATTTTGGGCGATAGCCTCAGCCACCACAGCTTTTCCTACTCGATGACATCAAGGTAGAAAGACAAAAGACAGTACTGAGACCTCAGCATGAAAAACGTTAATATATCTCTGTTCCTGTTACACACAGCTTTTGTAAGATGTGGTTTAGGATGAGAACACTACCCAGCACATATTACATCAGTAAATTTCCACAACCACGTACAAAGCTAGTCTCTGCCCAGAAGACAGCACAATCCATCTTTACAAATGAAGGACTGAAAAATCTTATCAAAGTACTTATGAACGTTGCTTTCTCAAGAAAGCTACATTAGTACGCTGTAAAACATTACTTAAGCAGAATTGTGCAATTTTCTCACACATAAACGAAGTCATCGTCCTCCTGTCCCCAACCAACAACACATCAGCGATTCCCCTGCCAACGTACCTGCTCCTAAAAACCACGGAAGATGAGACAACCCACGTGTTCAGTCCCAATTAATGATCGTAGCTGGAAAAAATGTATGAGGAAACTGCCCTGTGAAAACAAATAAGCAAAGAATTACAGGAATATACAACCCTGAAAACTAGAAAGACCTTTCACTCAGTATGGTTTGAATCACAGTCTGCTGGAGAATACGGTCTAGTCAAAATTCATAAAACTGTAGGCTTGTCTGGAGTTTGTAGACCTTTTTTATTTTTAAAGAATAAGTTTTTTAAAGGTCAAGCCATTCTTCATCTGCAAGATTTACACCCTGACCATACCAATGGCATTCCCAATCACTTGAGAATGGAATGCATTCAAGTTTTGCATTCTTTAAGGTTTCAGCATAAAACCCAACTCCCTGGAAAAACCATAAGCATCGTGACATGTAATTTCTTTTAGTAAAAAAAAAAAAAAAGAAAAATAGACATAGCTTACCAAAGATTTGAGGAAAACTAGGGAGAAATGTAAAGCATGCTTATTTTGACCGAAATTATTGTTTTCAACTATGCATGTCATCTGAATATAGCAATTATGAAGACTGGCACTTGAAAGTTGGGCTGAAAAACCCTTTGCAGAGAATTTTTCAGACCAACCTCACTGTTCAGTCACCAACAGCTAGCAGTTATAGACTTTTTTTTTTTCAGACTTGTGACATATTTCTGAACATATTTTACAACTGACACTGGGTATCAGGGTATGGTAAGTGTAACTCCTCATATCCATCACATGAGCCTCTAAGACAAGCAGCTCAATCTCACAAATGAAGTAACAGTTCAAGCCCTCTGTAAAGTGCAATGGAATAGCAAGTGCCTCCTGCTCAGGACAGCATCACAGCTAGCATCATGTAAGTGTAAGTTGCTGTATTTAATTCAGAGATTCTGATTAGGGAAGGTTTGCACACCTGCACTATTTGTTCATAAAATCCATCTTCAATTTCCCAAACATACTATATTTTATTTTTTTTTGTGGTTAACAAGCAAAGGCAGATCTAGATTAATTCCATTTCCTTCACAGCTGCTCACCACCCCATGCAGAAGTCTTTACTGGCAGGGAAACAAGACAGGAGTAGCTACAGCTACTCAACTGTTCTGTACACCACGTTTATCAGAGAAGTGCTGAACCCAAAACACCTGCTAGCTTCACCCACAGGTTCTCTACAGTGTCTCTTACTAACAAGCACTGGAAGCAGCTGAGCTTTATCAATAGCTTAAAAGAATCATTTCACCTCTCCAGAGGAGAGAAATTGCCTGCTCTGAAAGGATTATTTAAGCCTTACCTCGCTAATTAGTTCCCACTGTTCTTGCCCTCTAAATATGCAGCGCAGTCCCAAGAAAGATTATCTACCACACTGACAACAGAGCAGTTTGCAGTAACTAATTGCTGTTCTCATTTCTACGGACTTCAAAGCCACGCTCCCCACCACCACCGCTGCACAAACATTCACCACCCCACGGTACAAACCCCTTCCTAGAGAAAAGGATTACAGCACGGGAAGTAACCACTTCTGAGATGCACCTCTGTCCTACTGACAGCAACAGCGTATTTATAGTTATCATTAAAATTCCCCACGCACACCCCAAATTGCAAATAACAGTAATCTACGTGTTTGTTATACTTAACAACAAATACAAAGGGAAACAGAAAGACCAAATGTTTTCCTAACCCTATAAATTCAGAGGAATTCAGCTGAGAACCGAGACAGCCTCCACAGCCAGGCCAATCTCACCATCAGCCAGGTTTGCACCACGCATGGTTCCACTTTTGAGCAGAAGTCCAGTCCCTCTACAAGTCAGCAGCAGCACTCAGACCATGCTGCCTGCGTCCGACCCACCCCCAGCTCAACTCCTCTCACCCCTGCCACAACAAATACACGAGTGGAACATCGAGCTTGCACATCACAACTAGAGAACTTCTCTGCTAAACCATAGGGCACATCCTCTGAATAAAGAGCAGCTTTATTGCTAAAGGCTCCAAAGATGACTGGAGTCAATTAAAAATTAGGTCTCATTACTTTTTCTTAAAAGTATGAGAATAGAATATCAATCCAAAGCCACACAAAGGTTCTCCTACTAACTTGTTGCTCTCTATTCTGAACAGCAGCTCACACATGCCACCATTTTCAACTTCGCATCAACATTTCCACATTCATTTCTAACGAACCCTAAGAAATAAGATCTAAAACTATTTTGCAACTGTGTATTTTGGGGGTGGGAGGGAAGAAGTGCAAAATATATGAAAGAATTTAGCAAGACAGCTGAGGAACAGCTGAATCACTACCAGCACGAGTTCTGCTCACCATCTTAAGAGCCTCAATAGACCTGTGTGATACACAACGATCCATCCCTGAAGCATGTTTCAGGTAATCCTTTGCCTCAGGTGCAACTACCAGCTCTGAATTCTGCTCCTTTGCTCACCTACATCCACCTTCTATTCCTGCAAAGTCATAACATTGTTTTGCCTGTGCTCAGTTCCCATTTTTTGTCTCCGTCTACACAAGCGGTGGCTGCTTCGTTTAGTCTATTAATGCTGCAGGACTTGGGTCAGTGTGGAACACTTGACCCTCACACAAGCTCCACTTAAGCAGGTACTAGAACAGCTGCTTGGGCTCGGCACACCAATCAGCACTTCTACCATGGGAAGCAAGATTCCAATTTTCTCCTGATCACGAGGTTCTGTCAAAACTTAACTCGTCTACTCCCACGAGTATGAGAAAAAAGTAACTGAACACTTTCTGACTCAGGTGTCACTAGAATAAAAGAACATAAAACCGTTTCTCAAACTTACAATCACAAATCTTCCTGCCCCGATGGGCTTATGTTCCCAGCTGGGATTTAAGAACAGATAAAGCCATGCAAGGTCCTTTACCATGGAAATTAAATGAAAACTATTCTAAGCACAAAGACTCCAGTTTCAATCCATCCTTGCGCTTCTATCTCAAGTAATTCTACTTCCTTACAATGATTTACACTTGGGTCAGAGATCGCTACAAAGAGTACTTTTTAACATACAGAAAAACTTAAAAGCAGTGAAATAGTGTTTACAAGTTCAGAGATGTCCATATGGGAGATGGAAAAAGGTCAAAGTCTTAGCTTTAGGTTCTATCACTTGGAGATCATGCTGCTTCCCCAAATACCACTAGGTTAAATGAGCTTTTAAACTAAAATGTAAGGCACACTAATTGAAAAGAAATATGTTTTTGAAGTACACGTCACTGGATTACAACAGAATAAGGAAATTGAACCGGCATCAGGATGCAACATGCCTCATGCAGGATGCTGGCAGTTGAACGTCAGCTGATCAGTAAAGGAAAAACAAATTTTGCACATCCCGTAAACCATAAATAAACTTTTATCAACAGCTTTAATGAATCCTAGTGTTTATAGTTAAAACATGGAACTAATTTATTCACCTGCTCTTGACAGATATATTGTGTATGAGAAACATTCCCTGAAAGATAACATTTCCATCTGTATTTCTGGCACAAAAAGCCGGACAGGGAGACAGAAAAACAAGAACTGTTGTGTACTGGGCTGAAGGAATCCCCACAGCATTAACAGAACTCAACTGGAAAGCTCTTCATGCAAAAGGATGAATAGCCAAAGCTATTCAGAAGCCCAGTTACAAGTTTACTGATACTTGCCTTAGCAAAGAAATACAGGGTCTCAGCTGAATTTCTGGTAATCACATCTCGGATTACTGGCACTAAAGGAAGAGATGCCAAAGGCTGATGAAGCCAGACAGAATGCACTGTCAAGTCTGGAACTGGTCTCTTCAGGTACGGGCAAGGCAGATGTGCAAAGCCAACGGGAAAGTCTGGGCTGTCAATACCTTATCTATTTTGCAGCTAAGCACAGTTCCACTCTCCAATGCCATTATTCAATTCCTTTCTCACGAAAAAGACTAACCTGTGCATTTCAAAAGCTGTAGTTTTAGTGTGAAATTACTACATTTTCCACTAAACTGTGTTAAAAGACTAAATCCTACAAGCTTGCCCGGCTGTATCCAACACACTGCAATTGGACATAATTGGGTCACCCCATTTTCCCTTGTTTGGCAGGCACAGGGAATGAAATTTAGTTCTCATTTATTTTTAATATGATTCACAAGACAGAATAACAAACGAGAAAGATCTATATATTACAGCCAAAACTGCCAGCCCAGCTTTGCCAAAGCAATAAATTTGGGTGTAAAAACACTCCCTCCCTTTCCCAAGCAGCAAACAAGGTTGGTCAGTAAACAAATGGAAAAGCTGTCCTGTTCTTCAGCACTTGGTTCCCCATGCTGCCTGCAGAAGGGCTGGGTGAGGATCACAGGAATGACTTCTGCTTTGCAAGGCCCAACACGCGGACTGGGCAGAGGCAAGCACGCCTGACATCCCCTGCTGATCCCTGTCTGCCTGCCTCCCAAACCCATCTCTCTGGCTGCAGAAAGAGAATGTGCAATCATGTTCCCTTGGCAAAAGAAACTCTAAACATCACCTTGCAAACCACGACAGATTGAAGTTATTCTTTCTATCAAGGCAGTAAGTTAGAGATAAGAGCAAACTGGAGACAGTTTTCCAATCAGATGTAGGTATGTCTACATCAAAACACAGATGGGCTACTTTACAAGTATGTTACTAGCCTAAAAGGGGATTAAGTATTTTTAAGTTTTTCACTAGCATTAAGAGATGCTTCTCTCCCTCTCCACATCGTTATTTGGCCTGAAAAGTTTATAGTGAAAATAAAATATAATCCTTTCCAAAACCAAACTAAAAGACTATACTGGCTATTTCTTCAGTTACTGACCCTGGACATAACAGTACAGTCCGTAATGAAAAACTATTGCCTTTGCAGTTAGCCCTCCTTTTTTCTTCCCCCCTAACTAGATTTAGAACATCAACTACCATGTTTTCACTTAAAAAAAAATGCAGACAGGAGAATCTGTACTTGATCTCAGTTTAACTAGTCTGTTTTATGACCAGATGGAACACCTCCTAAAGAAACTCAA